GTATGTAAACTGGAACCTCTAAGTGTGCTGTGCACTGTGGATTAGATTTCTGGATGTTATGTAAATGTGTTTGTGTGTGTAGATAATATACTGAGAAGCGCTGGTGTGGTGGAAAGAATGAATGATGTATTAAAATATATATATATATATATATATAGAGAGAGAGAGAGAATAGATCCTAGGCTACTACTAACCCTATCCATTGTAAGCATAAACTAATATGAAAAGTAGCTATACAATAAAAGCACCAAGTTCTCAGAAATCCCTGTTGCTAGTGTTGCAAGCAGGGAATCTGTTGAAGATCAGGGCTTCCAGCCTTCGTGGTCTCATGCAGAGGTGCTGGAGAACACCAGCAGCTCAGAAACTGACCCCAAGGCAGAAAGCAGGGGAGCTGAAAAACTGCTGCCTTTTATGCATTTTCTCTGGCCCTCCCCCAGAGCACTGGGATTGGAAGGGACCTCAGAGAATGCTGACAGGTCACTGGCCAGCCACACATGTCAGTCATGAAAGCACTCCTTCCCCCTCTCCCCCTCCCTCCCCTTACTTTCCTTTTTTTTCTCCCCCCCACCACAGGGAATCCAGTATAGGCAAGTCAAATATTTGACCCTTGTCGAATATTTGACCCGTGCTGTTAATATTCGACTTCTGGTATTCGATTCGACAGCTATTCAACCAGCTGCTATTCCACTTGACTTTCACTTTTCAAGATCGAATATGTTGAATATTTGTCGAATCAAACATTAAGTTGAAGCTTTGCACAGCCCTATTAACCACAAAAAGAATGCTTCTTGAATTTATTTAGGAAATGAATGCCATTACAGTTGTGAGGATTGCTTGTCTGAATCCAATGTTGGGTATCACTGGAAAAAGCTCCCAACTTCAAATTAAAAAAACCCCCAACAACTCATCTTTGTAGAGATGCTAGAAATTGGTAGAGGTGCATTGATATACTGGTCACATATTGGATTAGCACCGATAACAGGAAAATTAATATTATTGGCAATCGGCTTTTTTTGGCCAATAATGTCACCAATAATCGCTGTGTGTATGCATGCATGCAGCCAGGAATGCAGCCTGGCAACTTGGAGAGCAGCATCTGGCCGGTAAGTCTGTCGGGGGGCATACTGCATGGAAGAAGGAAGGGGCATATCAAGTCCCCCATACTGAGGGAGGGAGTGGGGCAGGGGCTGCCTAGCCAGGGCAGTGAATGGGACCTGGGGTGGGGCAGCTCCCTGCTACTGTGTGCACCCCTGGGGGAGGTATGGGGCCATGTGCCCTTCTGAATTTATCTGCAGGGTGACAGTGGGCTACCTGCTGTGGGCTTGGGGCCAGGAGCTGTACCAGCCTCTTCTCAGTGGGGGGCCAGGGCAAAGACTGTGCTCGGGGCGGATGGGGGCAGGGCGGGAAGCAGCGTTGGGAGAGGGAGGTGCTGGGGGGATTTAGGGGGCTATAACCACCCCCAAATTTCTCCACAGCCCCCTGTAACCACCTGTCCCAGTGCTGCTGCCACCCACCCCATGCAGCCCTGGTCCTGAGCCTGCAGCAGGCAGCCTGGCCTCACCCTGCGCATACATTTGGGGGGCACATGCCCCCCATGCCTTCCCAAGGGGTGCATGCAGGGGCAGGGAGTCACTTCCTCTCTCTACCCCCCTAGGCCTCCCAGACGAGTATCCCATGCCCTGGCTCAGGTCCCATTCACCACCATGGCTGGACAGCACCTGCCCCAGCTCCAGCCCCACTCCCTCCCTCACAGTGGAGCCCTTGGTCTGGCCCCCTGTGTGCCTTCCCTCCCCCACACAGTTTCCCATCACAGACTTATTGGCAGGACACTGCTCTCCAAGCTGCCTGCCTCCATTCCTGTAAATCAGCTATCGGATCATCGGCCACTGGTATCAGTCAAGAAAATATTTGTTTGTGCCGTCCTAGTAATTGGGAGGTCTGTTCTACTGGATTCTCTACTGATAACACCTCCTACTAGCATTCAGTTCATGCAGTGCTGTAAGGAGCAAAATTACATTCCATCATCATGTTCAGTAACCTTGTTAGGGTGCTGAATAATATTCATGCCTTATGAAAGCAATTAATATCAATTAATATCCATGTTTCTAAATAACTTTTGTTGAACAGGCTGGAAGTATTAAGCAACAGAGACATAACCTTTTTCCTTGGAGACTCTCAAAGACCCCACAATAAGTGTCTCCAGAGCTAGAGACTGTTTCCCTGGTTTACTAGGGTGGTTTAGCGATGGATTTTTTTTTTAATATTAAAAAACAAACATATTTGGTTACTGGTCTTCTATTGGCTGATCCACACAGCAATCATGTCAATACTAACTCGGCCTGGTCCCCAGTAGATGACTAATTTAACAATAGCAGATCTTCTCCGTAAGAAAATAACATCTGAAAGGCCAAGGACAAAGATAGCACCTTCAGCTAGAAAAGAACAAAAAGCGCAGTTCTTATGCTCATATCCTTTGTATTGTGCTAAGGAATGGTACAAAAAGTAAAGAGAGTTCTCTATACCAGGGAACTCTGCCTAGCTTTCAGCTGTGTTATTAACCAACTTGCATTCAAGGTCCCAAACACAGAGAAATCACTGTTTCCATGGGCAGAGACTACTCACAAGCCCAAAACAATTTCTGATGAGCAAGATATTTCTAGTTAAAGGAACAAATCTGCTAAATATAACTTCTGCCATATAAACCATGGCAGCAGCTCACGTTTTCCTATTGATGGGCTGCTTATATGGAAATAAGAAACTGCACTCTAGCTACAACAGGAAAATCTGTCTCGAGTAGGTGTGACTGTATTCTTCACAGTTATCAGGAAAATTTAATCAGGTACTTTGACCATTGTGACTAGAACTGGCCTATTTACCCATGGAAAATCCTGAAACCTCACTGAACCAATGATGACATCTAGAGTGCAAGCTAAGCATACTTGGGAATGGCTCTCCCAAACTTACTGAGCTGCTCTGTGCCTGCTACCAGCCTTACTTGACACAGTGCAGTCACTTCTGCATGGCACAAAGGACAGACAAACTCACGCCATCATTCATTCATGGTCTAGTCTTTTCTGCACTCTGTGAAGGTGAAGAGGGGAACCCAGTGCTGATTTTTAAATTTTCTCTTCAGAAGCTTTCCCCTGTAATATTTGCTTCAAATGAGAAAGTGAACCTGTGCTCAGAGATTGCTCTAAAAGTATTTTGAGTGGCCTCCCCAACACGGGATCTTTTGGAGTCTTTCTAGGAAAGAGGGAACCGAGGCTCAAGGACAGGCATCCCAGAAGCTCTACTGAGCTCTACTGCATGAGATCCACATAGGCCAGATATGTCATTGTTTTCCTTGGAGATTTCAGAATAGGATATGTGTAGGAGACCACAGAGGGATAGGCTAAAAGGACTGCTATTGAGGCAGCAGCAGGGGAAGAAAGCTGAACTTAATTATTTCAGATAAAAAGCAAAATATATTACCAGTCTGAATCATACAAGTCAACTGCAGAAGAGCCAAGATGATGAGAATGACTACAAAAGTCCTATTTGTTTCAGATTCACTATTTATTTATTGGTTCTCGTAGAATGTATTAATTATAGAAACAGATACAGAATGCACAAAATAACAACAAGAAATTCAAGGACAACATGTTGTACGTCAAATAACAAGTTTGGCGTAATTTAAATAATGGGATGTTCTGCTGCATTAATGTAGATAAACCCAAATGTTGTGAATACAGTATGAAATGCTAGAGAAACTCCATCCACGCTCAGGGTCATTCTCAAGGGGAAAAAAAACAAAAAAAAAACACTTTGTGCCCTTGCAGCAGCTTCAATGGAAAAGTTAAGGCGGTAGGGCACAGAGAGCAGAACACTACTTCACTTCTAGAGATTTCCCCAAGTTTAGAACTAAAGAATACTAGTGAGAAAATATATGGAAGCTTGGCTTTGTTTCCTGTGTTGCATCTGTTTTTTCAATAGAGAATATAATTTCAAATGTTGGCAAATTGATTCTCCCACCAACTATATTATTCATTCAAAAAGGAAAAAAAGAAATCCAAATATTAAACAGTGGGACAAATGCAGGTGGATTATTGTTTTCAGAGAGCTGTTATATCTGGATGAAATGTTTTACCATAAAAATATATTGTTCTGTAACTGTTTTTAATTGTTAATCTTTGAATTTCTGTTACTGAAATTAAAACAATAAATATTATTTTGTGTATTGCTTAGAATACTAAAATATTTCAATAATTTGATCACTTTTCAATAAAATTATTTAAATTGTGGAACGCATAAGTAAAGGTAAAAGGCATTCAGCCAACCTTAGCCCTGTTTTTTAACTTTTTATGTTTTTTAAAAGATAGTTTGGAGGATATTTTTAGCCTGGCACACAAATGTCATGTTACAATAAATGCTAAATTCTAAATCTAATCCCATATAGAAGAAAATATGTTTAACTTAATCCTGTGAGTTGCCATGATTTATTCTTTGAAGAATGTATTTTACTTTGACATTGGATTTTGGAAAATATGATTTTGTCACTATAAATGTTAAACTAATCATAGTAGGCCAGCTGCTTTGATTTACACTGACTTTAACATAGTGGTTCATCAATGCAGATAAATGAGCAATTCCTTCAACACACTGCTGAAAATGTTAAAGCTACCACAATTTGTGACATACACAAAATAGATCTCATGACTAGAGGTAAAATGAACAACATTATTCTGAATTCTTTGTATATCATATAAAGATTTATGTCTTATTTTAGATATATGTATACACATACAATTTCCTGATTTCTACTTTTAAATAAAGGCTATCTTAATTTGCTAATATAATTTCCTATCATTTATTTTCCAAAATAAGGCTATTATACGACCATTTGATAGCAAGGGCATGGGAAATACTGCTCTAAAACTAAGAGAAGAATAAATGTTTATAAAGTGATGATCTCCACTCAAAGACACTCAAGAGAATGTGGCATATACACAAATATTACTTACCCGTGTGAAGGTACCCTCAAAACTGTGAATATCCAGTTGTGGCTTTTGAGCATAAACATAAGCATTGATTGAAAAAAGGTCCTGTAACAGATAGCAAAGTAATAATTAACATTAATTATTACTATTATTAAATTAATACAAATGTATTCAGTGCACTATATTATAATTAGGCTATAATTGTTCAGTTTTAGATGTGGTAAAAACACTAAAATATTTTCTTTTCCCAATAAAGGCAATGAAAAAGTTACTCAAGTAAGCTTTGGAATACGGTCCTGCTAGAAGATCTCATTATACAGGAACAGAGTGCTTGCGAACATAGCCACAATTTCAAGACTCTGAAAGTGATATTTATACAAGTATGAAAGATAATTTTCCTTACTTAATATTTTTAATAGTTAAATTTATTTTTTCTAATACAGTATCCTTAAAATAGTATCTTTTTATTTTCTTTCATTCTCTTTAAAAATAATTATACAGTTTTTCCCCTTGGGTTGCTTCTTGATAGTCCAAAACACCTTTTTAGCAAGAGAGAAACTGATTGAATATGTAGGGAAAATGATAAAACTGAATTTTAAAAGTTCCACTAAATGCCTATATATTACAGACGTTTACAGAATCTAAGAGTTAAATGGCATGTCTTAAAATTTGAGAGTTGTTATTGTGATCCTTCTGATATAGAACTGTTGAGATCCATAGCCATCTTCAAACAAACAAATGCATTAATAAATTCTGAATACATTCAGATCTAGTTTGCATTTTATCAAACAGTCTTCTGACATAGGTCTAAAAAAGCATCTTTAGATGCAAATCATGAAAATAATTTGTAACTGATGTTCACAATCTATGCATGGTATGTTTACCTTGCCCTACAGAGGTATATATAACCCTAAATCATTCAATTAGTTTATTTACAAATTTTATAAAAGCAAATCAAGTTTCAACACTAAATTTTTGCAAAATATCTTTTCTCATCTCAAATCATTGGCCATTTATTTTAGTCATTCACCTAAACGTCCATTTACTGCACTCTTGTGCTTCCAGGTTAGTTTTCATCAGCTTCACAAGAAATAATTCATACGAAACTAATACACATGTGGTATCATATGTCTTCATCATTCAATTCTTCCCAATCTGTTATCACCTACAATTTAGTTAATCCAGGCTATTACGTGCTTTATTGTACACAGAAATATAAGTTTCTCAGTACTGGATAGTACAGAAGAAAACCAATACCGCACACATACCCATATACAATAAGAACTGTTACTGAAGTGCATCAAACATAAACTTTTCTTTTCAGAAAAGCTTAGTTAGGAAACAAAATTAGAATGCAAGAAAGTAGAAATACCCATGTCTTCACATAAACTGACACTGACATAATATAGTCAAATTTTGGTTTAACTAACTGCAACTACAAATGGTGCCCCTTTGTAGCCTATTACATGTTAGGTACAGTGTAAGAATTTTTGTCTAAATTCCTTTACTTCCTGTGCTCTTTAGCTTGTATTTAATGTCCTTTTGTGCATTTGAGATCTAACACTGCCTATCTCTTTCAGAAGCCTTCTTAATTTCCACTTTGACAAAAGTGAATTCTCTCATTTTTCTGAATAATCAAGATCTTGATGTTGCACATGCTTTTATAATCCTCTTTTAAGGAACTTTTGAATATTCCTTTACATTAAGATGGCTAGAACCTTCAGAGAACTCAAAATATGGCCTCTGCTCACAAAGTACTATGATTTTATACAGACTATACCCTAGTAGGGTATTCCAGCATAATAACTGATTCTGTACTTTGCCTGTAACTACAGAAAAAAAGATGCAGTGCAGGTCAGCAAGATATCTCTGCACTCAAGTGCAGAATAAAATGAAGGATATTTCCCCCTGCAATCATATGCAAAACGCAACTCTAAGTATTTCATGTATATACGACTCTCAGGCAGGACTCAAAGAAGCTAGACTCTCATATAACATGTGGGAAGACTCACTTATATTCTAATAAGGACACAATACCAAAATACCTGCTTAGCATCCATCAACCAATGATGAGTTTTAAGAGGACCATGGTTTATGCCTATTTCTACAGTTTAAATTGGGTAGATTTCTCTCTGCCCACTGTTATTGCCCCAGGGGCAAAAGGTGTCCTCTCTCGCAGCAGAGATCACAAAAAAAATTAAGCATGGCACTACCTGAGATGGAAAGATTAATGCAGCTACGTAAGCTTCATAAATAATGCTGTACAGAAAAATACCTTAAACTATTTTGAACAGGGAAAATCTGGATGGCCTAGGTGCAGGGATGTCATAGTATTATGAAATTTCCCTTCCATATTATTGTCATTCAACTTTTGCTAAAATATTTCCAAAATATTTTCTGTAATATTAGTTTATTAATGAAGAAATACATGTTTAGGAAATTCAAAACAAGTCCAGCATTACTCTTGCTGAAATGCTGGTCCACACTGAAGTCAAAGACAGTTCTGCCATTGACTTTAACAGGAACAGAATTTTCCTTCTAATTTTTCATTTATATGGGGAAACAACTGAGGTGAATAATCTTGGTTATGTCCCTATTTAAAAGAAGACAAGCAAATAGAAAAAAAAAGTAAGTTTACAGCAATTCTAAGTTAAAATGCTTAGCAAGAACAAAGTTGAGAACAGAGACTATAAAAAAAATACATTTCCATACAACAATGGATAGAACTTACAAAATACTAAATAACATGTTAGGAAGCTCGGTTAGCTACAAACCACCACTTAGAAAAATGCATCTCATCTGTTTACATTAGTCACAAAATGACTAAACGATGGTAAAATAATGACAATGTTTTCCTTTGCATTTTACAATAATAATTTAGAAATCACTCTGAAGTTATCAATAACGTAGAAAAACCTCCTCTATTAGGTCAAGGGCAACATTTGTTCACCTTACTTAAAGATCATTAAAATACATCCTTAATCATAACATGTGGTTCATTACAAATAAAATTGCCTTTGGTTCAATAAAACTAATTAAATGTAAATGGTATTGTTTACTGCTCTATGGATCTTTTGATATAAATCAGCAAGTCACCATTTATTGAAAATTACAGTGACCTCATTGTTGTTAATAAATTTACTTGATCACATAAGGCAGAGAAGAATGTCCCACGATACTTTCAGTGCCAGAAAAACGGCCCCACATATAACTATGAAACCACAAGAAACCTAACCTGGGTGTTAGAGTTCTTGCAGCACAGTCATCATTAAATGACTTGTTGAAATTTTAATTCTCTGATCACATTAAGTGGTTTGGGAAGACAACAAAATCTGTACTGATCATCTTTGGTGGTGTCATCTGTTCTTCAAGAAAAGCTCTGAAGGTTTGCAGGTTTATTTATTCTTGGTGTCACGGTGGATAAGGTTACAATGCTTCTCTGTTGATGTGACTGACAGATCATGACAACACAAGATACTCAAATCCTTTACATCAGATAACTAAAGAAATCAAAATGAGTGACAATTATGGACAGTGTATGCTGCTAAATGCAAGACCAAAGTTCTTAATTTCCTTAGTCTATCTCCATACTCAAATTTCACTTACCATCCATTCTTTTAAATTATTAAAGTATCATGTATATGATACAAAAGTATTCTTAAACTTCTCCTTTTGAAATTTCCTCCGAATTCAGGCTAAGATCCTGTTTTAAGAAATGTGACCTAGTGATGGGGAACCTTTGGAAATCAAAAGTAGTACAAACATAATGCATAGCTGCCACACCAACAGGAAGGATAGTGGCTCAGCTGAGATCGCTTACTACCTCTAAGGAGGACCTGCAGGTCAGCAGAAACAATTTAGGGAAAACTTCTTACACTCCCCTCTACTTGTGAACCTCTTTACAGCAACAAAACCTGATATTTGGCTTTGTCATTTAAATATATGATTTATGTTAACAAAACAGTGGACTCCAATTTCTAAACTAGATTCCAAATGGAATATACAAATGCAGCTGGTACTCACGTTTCATTCCAGCTTTACAAACAGTATTGAATTTAGAGATATTCCATATACTTAAAATACGAAATACTGCACCCACTGAACATTTTGCATTAGCATGTTCCACTATTTTCCTCTACTCAATATGCTAATTACACCAGAGATAAGCACAAAATATATGAACCTATTGATAATGGGTTCTATTCATTTCTTCTTACAGAGGCAGAACTTACACAAGGGTTCAATGTAAATTTTACCTGAATACAAAGCTGAATCAGGTGGCGCTATGTAACTGTAAGAAATTGTCATAGCTATTTAGTAACAGCCCAGCAGGTGGCAATCAAGAATTATTGTACAACAGGATCAATCCAGCCTATTTTCCTGGAATTGATCGTTTATATTTTAATCAGGAAATTCTATACATTATCTCTACATGCATACTAAAGGTGCAAATTGGAGGAACTTGTATAGAACGCTTCCCATGGGAAAGGGATTATTTTTTGATAGGCATTTATTTTTTTCCAGAATTGACAGATCTGAATGTCTATTATGTACTTTGCAAAAATGTCCACAGTTTGGAATGACTTGTGTCTTAAAGCAAATCAGATTTCAGCAAGTTAATCTCCATTTCATTTAGAGAGGCAAACCAAAGCTTCAGATATCTTTTAGCCATAAGGAATAACCATCATATTTGAGTCTGAAAAATAGCTTCTGAGCAAGCATAAATTGTGGGTGACCTTAAGTTGGGAGCAAGAGTTGGGAGAGTACCCAGGAAATTTTGCATTCAAAGAAAAAAAAAAAAAGAAAAAAAACAACAGAGATATGAAGAGTAAAATATTTCCAGTGATACTCTGCTTTCCAAAGAGAGAGTCATAGCCTCAATCCTCTTCACATTAGGAAAAACTAAAATGGCCCAGAACTGGTCCAAGCTTCATACTCTGTAATATTAGTAGATGTTCAGTTGCCAACGTGACATATCAAAGCTGTTTTCAAAAATTTAAAAGACATGTGTCTCTGCATGTCTACACATGCAGGCACATGTGCTTGCAGCAGCTCAAATAGCAGTGGTACAAATTTGTGCCTCAGCACATGTCTGAACATACACT